CACGGAGTTGATAGCATGGTTCGACGAGATCACACTTGAACAAGTACCAAGAGAAGAGAACACACAAGCAGATGCTTTGGCTGCGATCGGATCATGTCTGGGGGCAGAGGTCAATAGCAACATCCCTTTCGTTCACCTCACAGGTCCGGCAATTGACAGATTGGAGTCCGTCAACACTATCAATCCGTCCTCACAAGATGACCGGATGCAGCCATACATAGCATATCTGAGACACAACACTCTGCCGGTTGACAAAAGGGAAGCTAAGGCGTTCCTTTCCAAGGTAACTAAATTCTTATTAATTGATGATGTTCTGTTTAAAAGATCTAAAGCAGGTCCGTACCAAAGATGTTTGGCACCTCAAGAAGCCGCCAAAGTGTTAAGGGACCTTCACGAAGGGGAGTGTGGAAACCATGCCGCGGGAAGAAGTCTATCAAACAAGGCTCTCCAATTTGGGTACTATTGGCCAACAATGCGGCATGATGCAATCATTTTCACCCAGAGTTGTCAGGCTTGTCAGAAACATGGGCCAATACGTCACCAGCCCTCGGAATCGCTTCATCCGGTTCTCTCACCCTGGCCTTTTATGAAGTGGGGAATGGACATTGTGGGAAAGCTACCCGAAGCTCCTGGACAGAAGGTCTACATGTTGGCAATGACAGACTATTTCTCAAAATGGGTGGAAGCTGAGCCATTCCGTCAGGTACGTGATGAACAAGTAATATCTTTTATCAGACGTAATATACTTTGCAGGTTTGGCATTCCGTCAGAGATTGTGTGTGATAACGGATCCCAGTTCATAAGTGCAAAAACCCGACGCTTCTGCGGAAGATACAACATCAGGTTGGAGACGTCAACTCCTAGGTACCCCGCAATCCAATGGACAAGCCGAGTCTAGCAACAAAATCATTGTGTCCAATTTGAAGAAAAGACTGGAAAAAGCGCAAGGCAGATGGGCTGACGAGTTACCCCTGATATTATGGGCCGACAGAACGACTCCAAAGAATGCGACCGGACAGACTCCTTTCTCCTTGGTGTATGGCTGTGAGGCGGTCATACCAGCGGAAGTTGAGGTACCATCCTCGAGATACGGGCTTATGACTGAAGAGCGGAACAACGTTGAGTTGATACATGATCTTGACACTATTGACGAAATTAGAGAGCGGGCCAAGATCCGTCTACAGTCCTATCAACAAATGGTAGCTAAGAGTTTCAATAAGAACGTTCGGGCAAAAGTGTTCAAGAAAGGAGATTGGGTTTTGAGAAGAGCATTTGGAAATGAAGCAAGTGGAAAATTCAGCCCCAATTGGGAGGGTCCGTACAAGATTGTTGACATAATTGGACAGGGGGCATATCGTCTGGAGTCAATTGAGGGTAAACAAGTCCCTAGAAGTTGGAACGCGGTACACCTTAAACTTTTCCATTTCTAATTTTGTTATATTTTATTTATTTAAGACAACCTACTAACTTAATCATCGGAGGGCCGTTGGATTAAGGCCAACGACCAATCCTAACGACATTTTGAGTGCAGGAAACCGAATGAGGCGTCACGTAAATCTCTTTGATACGTCGCGCAATAAGTCCATGACGTATCGGGTACGACGGATCTGTCAAAGCGTCATGGCTTTAGTTCAATAAATTTTGGATCCTTTATGGAATCATGTTGTGGTCGTCTTGTTTAGAAAAAGAGGTGACGTATTCAGTGTAAAGTATACATTTACGCTTCAAGATAGATTCATTGCTTTTACTGACTTAACCATCGGAGGGCCGTTGGCCCAAAGCCAACGGCCAGCTTTGACGGTTTTTAATGGATGCAGGAATATCTCAAAGCATAAGATCAAGCAGTTACCGAGGCAACTAAGATGTCAACCATGCGCATACCGGTTACATATTATACACTAACATCAAATGGGAAAGGGCTGGGCTGCCCATGAGAAGATCATGGATAACAGTCCCAGCCGGCCCTTACAACATATATATTTTTGGCCAAAACTTACACACATATATGACAACGCACGTGCAACCAAAACATATATGACACCGCACGTGCAACCGAAACGTATATGACAACACACGTACATAAAAAAAAATACAGAACTACACAACGAAAGCACATGCTCCAACATAAGGAGACAATACAAATGACAAACGTAATGCCATATTTAAAGTTTTTGCAGGATATGAACCAAGTTCACACAACACATCTCGTCATCTTCGATGATGGACGATGTTCCCGTCGCTAGATGAAGTGTCGACATCAATGTGAAAGATGTTGTAGAATTTCTGTCACCGAGTCGTCAAGACAATTTTGGAGGAGAGAAGATAACATGTCAGGCTTCAGATTTCGTTGTTTTAGTTGAGGAGACGGGTTCGATCAACGGTAATTCCGAAGAAAGACGGAAACATTTCATCAACCGAAGCTGTCAACATGTCACCACAAGTCGTCGATAGAAGCAGAGAACCAAGAGGTGAAGTGTTGCTCTTTCAAAATTTCGACAAGTTACCGCTTAATGATCCGACCATGCATTGTACGCGCCAACTTCTCGAAAGGGGGCAATTGTTGGTGCAATTATTTGGCAATATATTTCGCATTAAAGAGAGTTGATCACAAAAGTTAAAGAGGCTTAATGATGGCTGTTGTAACGGATTTGTGTTTATTGCTGGAGTTATCAACGATATTAAGGCTGGAGGTTACTTATTTTGAGCTGGCCAGCATTGATGACGAATTGCGAAACCGACGACGGGTCGGAACCGTTACGTCAAACCGCCAAAACAGACAAATTGAGTCATTGAAGCGTCAAGAATATTATTTTTAAATATTGTAACGTTTTGGTACATTATTAGGCTCCTTAATGTGATTAAGGAGAGTATTAAATGTGTTTGACCAGCTTTTATGACGGATTTGAATCCGTCGGTACGTAACGGATGGCCAATCCGTCAATAACGGAAAAAACCATCATTAGAGCTTTAATTGCTTTTCCTATAAATAGAATAGCCTCATTGTAATCAAGGCAGCTGAAACATTCGAAATACACACAAGTTTTCTTTCTTATTCACTCTCTTGTCATCTCCTTCTCTATTCTTGTTCGAGGCCCTTTCTTTATACAAATTCCTTTTTAATTAGTTTTAGCTTATCAATATTTTGCTTAAACAGTATACATACTCGATCGAGTATGTATAGAAATCAGAATTTGGTCAATACTCGATCAATACTCGAGTAGATTTTATATGTATACCCGATCGAGTATATAAGTATACCCGATCGGGTATAGACACTCGAACGTGGGAAAATCTTCTCCTGCATGTTCCTTTGTTTTCGGATCCGATCCGATTTGAAATGTCAACCAGATACCCGATCGAGTATATGTATATACTCGACCGAGTATAGACCAAAATCAGGATTTTTCCTTCTTTTTGTCTTGTACTCTTGCACCTTCCTTCACCATTGATCATTTGATTGATCTTGGACCTGTTTAAGCTCAGAATAAACCTAATCTAAACAAATTACAAGAATTTAACAAACTAAACTATTACACCGAAAGTGTGTAATTTCCGAAATATTAAACAATCAAAACTAACTAAAAACGTAAATAAACATACGGAAATTACAAACGTATCATGCGGGATTACAACAGTGTGACGCCTTTGTTGCCATCCATCCATAATCTGCTTCCGGATTTTTTCCGGAAATTGATATCCACATTGATTCCACATCATACCAGCATTACGTCGTTCTACAAAGAGTTGAACAGATTTATCGAAAGTTGCTCTCACAAGTGCTGTAATCGGAAGCGTTCTACATCCTTTTAGGGCATGGTTAAAACTTTCAGATAGATTGGTCGTTAAAATTCCATAACGACATCCACCATCAAAACAAAGTGCCCACTTCTCTTTAGGAATGACATCAAGATAGTTGAATGCTCTTTCATTAGCACCCCGTATTTGTTGCATGTAGTTAGTAAATTCATTTAGAATGGGAGTACTTCCGGCACGCCAACACAATTTTTTGAGATTCTTGCTTCGAAATTGGGACATAAAATTACTTCGAATGTGTCGAAGACAATATCGCCTCTGAATTAGAGGTGTTCCCAATTGTGGCACATTCCGGAACGCACAATCAATCGCGACATGTCGGTCAGATATTATGCAAACATTCCGACGTGGAGGAATAATATTTGTCGCAACTAACTGTAAAAACCACGTCCAACTATCCCCGTTTTCGCTATCTACCACCCCAAAAGCTAGAGGAAAGATTTCATGGTTAGCATTCATTGCCACCGCGACCAACAAAGTGCCTTTGTACTTACCGTACAAATGTGTACCATCAATGGAAATGACCGGAAGAGAATGATTGAAACCATCAATCGCTGCCTTGATTGACCAAGAAGCGTACTTAAATTCATACGTACCTTGTGTATCAGTTTGGTCTGTTCGTAGGTCAACAATGGTGCCTGGATTACTAAATGCCATACCTTGTAGAAGTTTTGGGAGATCGTTGTACGCTGCCTCCCAATTGCCAAACCGTTTCTCCAATGCCAAGATTCTAGCATACCATGCTTTCTTGTAACCCACGTGGATGTTGAACTTCCGTTGTATGTCATGCATGATTAGCTTTACACTATAATCAGGCTTAACAAAAATCTTGGATCTTATTTCAGAGGCAATTAACTTACTCGTGAGCAGTTTATCATTCTTACCTCGTGTGTAGTTGGGAATGCAATTGTGTTTCGGTTGATACTGTTTGACTTTCCACTGTGTGGTGTGTTTGATTAGTGATGCTTGAATAAACCACGCACAAGTTTCATGATGAACACACTTTGCTCGCCAATAATCTATGCGTTTCGCCTCATTACAAAAAGTTCGAAATTCTTTGAGGTTTACAAGGGACACATCTTGCTTCAACTCTTCGAATGTATCATATACACGACCCACGTATATGGGTTGTTCTTCACAATATGTGGGTTCAACGAATTCCTCCTCGTCCTCGTCCTCGTTTGGGATATCATCACTGTCTTCAGAACTGCTCTCGTGTTCAGAAAAGGAAAGAGCGTTATAATCAGGATCATCGTCACTATCCGAAACATCATGGGGGACATTGACGTCAATCATCGGCTGAGAAGTGTCTTGGTTGGGAGGACGCCTAGAAGTGCGTTGTTGAGATGGATGAACCATTTGCTTCTTTTCGGCATTGATGTATATCTCCGCTCGTTCGTATTGATTGCGAGCAAATTGTAGAAAATAGATCCATGATGGGTCGTCATGGATAGGCCACAGCATGGAGGAAACACATATTCCCTCAGAATTATATATGGGAAATTTCCCATGAATGGTTTTCATGTCATAGAAACCATCACGGGACATTTCTTGCATAACGCTCTCACATAGTCTTGCATATGTAGTATCATCACTCAAAAAAAGTGCAGCATTTGGATACGTAGAGTAATTGACTTCATTATTATTTTCAGTCAACACCCCATTCCAATGCACAAGAACAACTACGCTACCCTCACTAGACATGTTACACTAATACTTTGTAGAAATAATCGTAGAGAACTACCAATGATGTTACACTAAAATTAGGCCACTGCTGATGTTGGGAAATTTCATGTGCGTGATAGGAACTACCAACTGTGGATGGCGGCTCCATGGGTGTATCATGAGATGTATCATCATCATGTAACCCATACCCTGGTCTAGTCTGTTGGCCATGAGCATCGGGCGATGCGTGTCCTTCATCAACCTCTTCAAATGTGATGATGTCGTGATCCATTGCTTCTTTTGCACCTATCCGCCTTAGGCAATTCCTGATTCGCTCAATCATCCCACAATCTCGAGGGTCACCTCTGTCAATCATTTCCCGAGCAACCTGGCCCAAACAGTGAGTCTGCAATACAAATTTATACAGTTAATAATTTGAATTATTACATTATATGAGAATACCAAACACTTTTAAATAATAACCGCGATAGCAATATGTGGATGAGCTGGAACAAATCCGGTTGTAGGACGGTCTTGTGAGGGGTTGTTAATGTGTGTCTTGCCCATGTAACGAAACCACCCACGATACTCATCAGTGAATCCCCCGCATCTGGTCAGGTCAAACACATATAATGTTTGCCATCGTTGCTCCCATTGTGTAATAAACTCAGCATTGTTCTCTGGTCTAGTAGCATGGTGACGGTCGTTATGAGTCACGCTCCTAGGTATATCCTGGACTGCACCGAATTGACGACAAAATCTACCAGGATAGTATGCCTCAAAATATGAACAATAAATAAGTGGAGCTTTAGTTGCCCACAGATCAAATGCATGAGTGCAAAAAGCTGGAAGACTAGTAAGCGGGTAAGGTGTCCATTCAAACTGTGCAAAAAAAAATTGTTCCATATTAGTAAAAAAATATATATAAAAGTATTATATTAAATAAATTTAAATTTTACCTCCGACTCGCTTAATCGGTCAAATTGGTCCCTATAAATGCGAAGAGTGAATCTGCTAGAGTCGGCCCAGTTATGTGCACAAGCCCACCTAAATTTAACGAATTATAAGACAAATCATAAAAACCATAATACAGTACAATGTAATATATTATGTCAATGAAGCTTACCTAGCACCATAGGGCAAATCAAATATTGCATGCAGTGGAAGAACCAGTTGGGGTCGAACCATTGACAACCTCTCCCATGCCCAAAGTTGTAAAAGGATTAAACATCCTCCAATCGAAGATGTGTCCGCCTTCGCCGCTTCACATAAGTTGTGGTACAGAAATGCCAACACAACTGAGCCCCAACTCCACCTAGTCAAATTCTCTACATTGTCATGCAACAACTCAAGAAAGTAAAGTGACGTTCTACCGGAAGTGCTAGGGAACAACAACCCACTGAGCAACTGCCAAATCAACGTTTTAGTATGTTGAATAACTTCAATGTCAGTGCTCCACGGTGACAACAAAAAGCGCTGAATGGCTAGATTTTTAATGCTGTTGGATGATATTATATCTTTTTCAAATGGTCTGAAACCAAGATAATCATCACACATTTTGACCCATTCAGTCTTACTATGTGCCGTCGGACCAGTAAGTGGGAGACCATCAATCGGTAACCCCAGCAGCACCTGTACATCTTGCAAGGTAATGCCGACCTCGCCAAAAGGTAAATGGAAAGAATGTGTTTCTGGTCTCCACCTCTCAACCAATGCAGTGATAAGACCGTGATCAATTTTGATTTGTACTACTCGTTCAGCTCCTTGAAAGCCTGATGCCCTCAGCAGCTGTACGACTCTAGGATCACGTTCGCCATCGTCTTTGGCGGATTTGGGGTAAGTAATGCACCTCAATTTTAGGTCTCTCGACTCTTCAGTTTTCCACACATTATCGGCACGATGTTCTCCAGGTTTCATTACCAATACAGAACGTTTTATGGGCCCGGGATGGGGGTGCTCTCTTTGTGTAGCCATGAAAACCTAAAAGTATATTATTAAATTAATTCCAAATCAACACTCCTATTTGTAATACTTTGTGCGTAATTACAAATTTAATCAAACAACACTATTTATAATACAAATTATATATGTAATTAAACAACACTACTTATAATACAATTCGTAATACAAATAAATACACCTAATTAAAAAACAACATATTTCATTAACTATAGACTAATACTATACATTAATTTTTGTTAATTATCACAACTTATAGACTAATTTCTACACCAAAATAGGAAAAATTACTACAAACTTTAAACTAAAGGTGGGCAAAATTTTCCAAAAAGGTTAGCATGCATATTACTAAATTTATACATACATATTTGGTAAAGTAACACTAATCTTTCATGTTTGGTAAATAAACTAAAATTTCGCAAGTTTCCTATTTAACTTTTTTGTTTAGGTTCCTAATTCACAATTATAAATTAACACTATTATAAAATAATTTCATTCCTAAATTACTAACTTTAATTATTACCTAAATTAACCATTAAATTGGAAAAACTTAATTACATTATTAATAAATTTGGAGAAGGAGTTGGCCTAAAGTAACATAACGTTAACTAATTTGGAGAAGATATAACTTAATGTTAAATTACTTAACGTTAATTAATTTCATTCCTACTTTTATAAAGTAACAAATTAAATTAAACTAAAAATATTAAAGAAGAACTTACTTGGGTTAAGATGAAGGAGATGGCCAAAATTTGGAGAAGTTAGAAGACAGATTGGAACCGTGAGATGGGGTTGTGAGGTGAGGTTTGTGGTGGATTTTATAGAGCAGGTTTGGCAAACATGTTGAGTAATTGGCAATCCGAACCACCTTATTCTGACCAATAGGAGCACGGACATAGTCACCAAATATGTTGAGAAATATATTAATTTATTACAACAGATTCGTAAATCTGCTCAAATAGATCGAATCAATCCACACCCTTCAGCTGGCGATCCCAGATGGCGATCTGCGCCCCATATTTTTGACCAATAGGAAGACCGACATATTTGGCAAATATGTTGGGAATATCTTATTTTAATGCGATCCAAGCCCTTCGCTTCACGATCCAAGATGGCGATCCGCACCCACCCCTCTTGACCAATAGGAAGACTGACATATTTGGCAAATATGTCCAGATACATATTTTTTTCTTTTTGCAAATACTGAACATATTTGGCAAATATGTTGAACCACTTCAACCAATAATTCGGTCAAACCTACACCTTTTGGAAACACCTGCAAAGATTCTACCCTGTTCTGTCATTTACTCCATTTTATTTACGTCGTACGTACAAAGGCAGACCTTTTATATGGTAGACCTAAACATGCATGCCGTATATACGCCCCGTATGGCCAGTGGCAGCTTGAGAATTTTGGTGGCCCTATACTAAAAAATACTCCCTCTGTCCCCTTTTAAATGCCCCGGAGGAGGGTGACACGGGTTTTAAGAAAAGTGGGTTTGTGTGGTTGATATTAATTGATAAAGTAAGAATAAAGTAAGAATGATTTTGAGCCACACAAACTTTACCAAATAAGGTATGAGACATTTAAATAGGGACACCCCAATATGGTAAAACGGGACATTTAAAAGGGGACGGAGGGAGTATTTAATACGTCAAATCATATTGAAATCAGATAAATTGAATATAAAACGTTATATAAAGAGGCAGAATTAAGGGCCCAAAAAGCAGAGGAAGTGTATACTATCGACCCTTCTGTGGATATCAAAAAATTTAAAATTTGTTTCACACCTTCATCCCTCACCCGTACTGAATGGTCACAATCCCAAGCAGAACTCCTATTGAGACTTAAACAGGAACATCTTTTCTGGAAACAAAGGGCCAAAATTAAATGGTTGGCGGGCCGAGGGTGAGGCGAATACGAAATTCTACCACAACTTCGTGCGAAACAAAAGGTGTGCCCAGAGAATCAACGCTATTGAGGACAGGGAAGGAAACCTAATTCAGGACCAGACTGGTATTGCAAAAGCTGCGGTGGACCATTTCCAGTCCTTGTACACTGAAAACGAAGGCAGTGACCCTAGATAACTACTGGATTTATTTCCGAAATCTATCACTCCTGAGGACAACACCTTCCTAACATCTATTCTGCTCAAGGATGACATTAGGGACTTAGTTTGGTCCTTGAGCAAAGACAGTTGTCCAGACCCGGATGGTTTTCCTGGCAAGTTTTACAGAATCTGTTGGGAAATTATCAAAGAGGATCTTTTCAAAGGAGTGCAGGAATTTTTCCTAGGCATCCCCATGCCTCAGGCCCTAAACGCCTCACTCATCACTCTTATACCTAAAACCCAAAACCCAACGTTATATTCACCCATTTCCGTCCCATTAGCTTGACTAACTTCATGAACAAAATCTGCACAAAAATTCTAGTTAACAGGCTAAAACCCCTCCTTCCGAAAATCATCTCAAAAAATCAAATTGGATTTATGGAGGGGGAGGACATGCATCACCATATCCTCTTGGCGAAAGAAATTCTTCACCACCTAGACCACAAGGTTAGGGGTGGCAACATTGGCATCAAGTTGGATCTTGCCCAGACTTTTGATCGTGTGTCTTGGTCCTTCTTGGAGGGGGCACTTTCCAGTTTGGGGTTTGATCAGAGGTTCATTTACCTCATCACGTCTAACCAGGGATCCAACAGAATTTCAATTCTCATCAATGGAATGCCATATGGCTTCTTTAAACCACAGAGGGGGGTCAAACAGGGAGACCTCCTTTCCCCCTATCTTTTTATGATTGCTATTGAGGGGTTCAACCGTGGTTTACACAACTTATTTCAAAAACACAAAATTGCTCCCTATCTAATTGGGGGTAACCCATGCCCGGTGACTGAGCTTGGTTATGTAGACGATCTGCTTCCGTTCTTGAATGGTTCAAAAAAATCTATCACCCGAGTGCTGGAATTCTTTAACTTCTTCTCAAGTGCTACATGCCAACTGGTAAACCTGAACAACTGCAACGTCATTGTTAATTAGCAAAAAAATGCCACTAGCCAAAAAAAGAGAGCTTCAACATATTTCCAAAATGGCAGTCACTACTCTGCCAATTACTTACCTCGGCGTTAGTCTTCATCAGGGCACCACCAGGATCGCACATTGCACCAAAATCATCAAGGCCTTTAAAACTCGTCTCCAAACCTGGCACAAGAAAAATCTGAATCAGAGTGGCAAGTTAATCATGATAAAACATGTCTTAACTACCATTCCCTTGCATCATTTGGCAATTACCAAATTCCCAGTTAAAGTCATCCAAATTCTCAATCAAATTATGGCTAATTTTTTTTGGGGGGGTCTAGTAACACCAAACAACGCTACCATTGAAAGAAATGGGAACACATTTGCAGACCCGATGAGGAAGGGGGTTTGGATATCAAATCTCTAACCTACATACAGGAGGCACATCACCTCAAAATGTGGTGGCAATACAAAAATAACAAATCAACTTGGGCCAAGTTTATGCATGACAGATACTCAAGAGCTAATTATATGGTGTGCAAACCTTACGAGAGTCCTATGTGGAAACTCCTATGCAAAATTGACAACAAAAATCATAAACTTATTGAAGAAACAAAAGACCTGCCTTTGTGGAATCCGGAAAAGGATAAAAATTTCTCAATTTCCAATGCTTACAACCATACCCGTACCCACTACCCCATAACTTTCAGTTCATCTCACATTTGGACCACCAAACTTCAACTTAAACTTAAAATCTTTCTCTGGAAAATCACAAATCCCCTCCTACTTTCAGTCTATATGCGTCAACCCCGTGGTTTTATTCATCCTCAGTTTCCTAGATTTAGTAGCTTCTTGTTACATCATCATTTTTCGTGTAGTAAATCTGATAAGTCATTATTCATCTATTGCCATAATAATAATATTATCTATTTATTATTATATGTAGATGATATTATTATGACTGGTTATTCTGAGTCTACTATTGTCCATTTTATTACTATTATTTGATTTATTTCTAATCATTTTGCTAGGAAGGATTTGGGCAATTTGCATTATTTCTTGGGTGTTGAGGCGACTAGATCTCCTAAAGATTTGTTTCTTTCTCAAAACAAATATGTTACTCATCTTCTAGCTCGTTTTCATCTCCATACTGTTAAACCCGTTCGCACGTACTCCGTTTGCGTCTCACACTACTCTATCCCTTTCTGATGGTGAGCTACTTTCGGATTCCACGGTGCATTGCAACATGGTAGATGTGTTACAATATTTAACTTTGACACGGCCTGATATTGCATATGCAGTACATTTAGTGTCTCAGTTCATGCATGCCCCCCGTACCACTCATCTTTTTGTAGTCAAAAGACTTTTCAGGTATTTGCAGGGGACCCGTGATCATGGCCTATGGCTTCAGAGTTCTGATAAACCCACGTGTGTGGTAGTTTACTCGGACGCAGATTGGGCTGGTTGTCCTGACAGTTCTCGGTCAACCACAGGTTTTGCCGTTTTTGGGCCCTAATCTTATTTCCTGGAAGTCAAAGAAGCAACCTACTGTGTCCAGCGGCGGGCACAGGAATTTCCAGTAGCAGGGGCGACAGTACAAAAATATACATACAAATACATATACATTAAAAATTTTGGGGTAAATATACCGAGATTTATTTTGGAGGGGCAGCCCCCCCCCCCCCCCCCTTGTCACCCCCCCTGTGTCCACCACTGACTGTGTCCAAGTCTTCTACGGAAGCTGAGTATTGTGCAATTGCCTACACTGTTCAGGATAAATTACACATCCGATCAGTTTTATCTGAACTCGGCTTTACTATCACCAAACCTGTGCATTTGTTTTGTGATAATATTTCTGCATCCTATTTGACCGCTAATCCTATCCATCATTCTAGGAGTAAACACATACAGATTGACTATCATTTTGTTCGCGAACATGTTGCTCATGGAGATCTGGTCGTTCAACATGTTCCTACTTATTTACAGTTGGCTGATATTTTTACTAAGAGTCTCCCTAGGCAGATCAACGTTTTCATTTTTTAAAAGACAACATGCGCGTTGTTTCTCCCGCACAGCTTGAGGGGTGTAATAGATTAATTAAATAGAGATATTTATGTACTTTTACATTTAAACTCTTTACTATAAATATATCTGTCAGGGCTCCTTAGAGAGCATCCTGTTCCATTATTTTCACACGGATGAGATGCATTCGAATCTTGAGTCGGAAAATGAATTCCCTAAAGTAGTGCAATTATGTAGAGTGATTTTTAAATGCTATATATTTGTGTCCACAATTTCTAATTGGATTGAGAACGAGACTTAGAATTGCCATGTATCCAAGTGCAAGATCCTAAATTGGCACTAGTAATTTATGACCTAGTTAAGATTTCTTCAATCAAGAAGTATGAACTAATCAAATGACGTAATGAGAAGGAAAATTTGGGATAAATCGATAAAATATTTTTAAGCAAATGTCCTTAATATAGGAGTAAAACATACTCCTATATGACACTCTGACTTGTGGTAACTTTATTTAGAAACAAGAACCATTCCCATCTATTTTATTGACTTTCTTCTTGTTTCCATTCCCCTGTTTCAACTTTCAACCGATTTGCACGCAAGTAAGGCTCAGCTCACACATGTATGTTAAGCAATGATTTTTACACAACTCTTTCACAAGGGGGCAATCTCTCTTGAAAACAAATTGTTGAATGATGATCAACTTTGAAGAGAGCCCAACTTAAAAGTGCATGCAACGTCGTTAGTAGCCATGCATACGTGGCAAATTAAAGTCAATATTTATCTTTATTATATTGTTGAATAAGTCTTCTCTTTCCTAGGAATGGCAATGGGTCGGGGCGGGTACTGCAAGACCCAGACCCGCCCCGTGACCCGCACGGGTCCAAACTTGTTGACCCATGACCCGTCCCATGTGGGGCGGAGCGGGTCCGCCCTGCCCCGCCGTAACCTAATTAGCTAGTCTGCATTTCTATTTGGGTAAAGTTGTTTCCACTTGAATCTACATAAATTTATCTAAATAATTATTAAAAAAAATATTGAATCAAAGTCACAATACGCTAAAAATTTCAAAAATTTAATACAATTAATTAGACTGTTATATTTAATTTATTTATATTAATTAAAATGCTATATATAAAAGACATTGATAATCCATCATTCATCTCATTCAAATTTAAATATTAATATGTCATAAGATCAAAGAATTTATGATAAAGTATGTATACTTATAAGATCAAAGAAACACAAACCTCAACAGGTG